GCCCAGACTGGAGTGCAGTGGCCGCTCCCGGCCACCACAGCCTCGACCTCCTGGGCTCCGACGATCCTTCTGCCTCAGCCTTCCACATAGCCGGAACTACAGGTGTGCATGTTTTTTTTTTTTTTTAAGGGAGAGATTTCTGTTCAATGGTTGAATGTGTTTAATATTTTTTTTTAATTGGGATGGAAAAGCTTTAAAATCATCCTTTTCTATTTGGAGCTATGATGACTTTCTCTCTCTCTATCTATCTGTCATCTATCTATTTATCTATTTTGGGGGGACAAAGTCTCGCTATGTTGTCCAGATTGCTCTCGAACTCCTGGGCTCAAGTCATCTTTCTGCCTCGGCCTCCCAAAGTGCTGGGATTACAGGCATAAGTCACTGTGCCCAGACTAGGATGACTTTTAAAAGACACCTAATCAAGGGTGGGAGGCAACTATTTGCAGGGTGAGAGGGGAGACATTATCAGTCCCTGGATCCTGGAGGGTGATAGGAAAGGGGGGGCGTTTGTCCTCTCCCTGACTTTTTTCATTTTCACTTTCCTCTCTTGCCGTCACTCCCATGCTCCTGTCATCCTCTCCTCATTCAGTCCATGTACCATCCACCAGCCACTCCTCAGGAGACATTTACCAACACCAGACACAGAGACATAAAGATGAATGAGACACTTTTCCCAGCTGGAGATGCTCTGAGCCCGGTGGACAGTGATCCTTCATGAGTGGACAGTGCTTTCTGGTTGATGAAGCACAGTCACATTTGTTGTGTGTTTTGAGCCTCACGAGAACTGGAGAGGCAAGCCAAGACAAACCTTATCCATCCCAGGAAGATGCTGCAGCTCAGAGAGGTTGCAGAACAGCTCCAAGATCAGGAAGGTGGTGCTCAGTGGAGCTAGGTTGGAGAAGCCTTCTGGGCAGTGGTCAAACCCATCATCTTTGGCCACTCAGGAGCTAGTATCCAAAGGTTACAGGAGTTGGGTGGGGGTGGAGGCAAAGTGACACAGAAGATGAGGACTGGCCAGCTGAACATGACAGTCTGCAGCGTGGGTGTCTGAGAGCCAGATCTCCCTGACTGGAGTGCTTCGTGGGTCAGCATTGCTCTCGCCCCTGTTTGGAAAAAAGTGAAGAGCACACATAGTCCCTCAGGCCAACCACCCTTTCATCCCTGGAGTCACATTCTCCTGGCCGAGGAGTCCTGAGTTCATATTCATGATTCCACCCCCATCCCCACGTGCCACCCTTAACCGCAGCCAGTTGCCACAACTGGAATTTGAGGCTAAACAAAAAATGAAGACCATTTCTGGCTGGGTTTGGTAGCTCATGCCTGTAATTCCAGCACTTTGGGAGGCTGAGGATGGAGGAGCGCCTGCGGCCAGGAGTTTGAAACCAGACTGGGCAATATAGCAAGACCCTAGCTCTATAAAAACTAAAAACTAAAAAATGAAGAACATTTCTTCAAAGAGTGAGACAGGATGGGGTGGGGAGTCAATTACAAAATGAACTTGTGTTGTAGAAACTGGGGCATGGTGCTCTTTCATAGGTAACAGAGAATGTCTTTTCTGACTGGGGAGGACCCTGATGCTGTCAGGGATGGGAACATGGTGGAGGGAGCTCTATAGACAGAAGGAGGTTAGGTAGGGGAGCAGAGGGGTCTGAATAGTGGATTGGCTATGGTTCTTTTTTTTTTTTGAGACAAGACCCGGCTCTGCTGCCCAGGCTGGAGTACAGTGGTGCAACCATAGTCCACTGTAACCTCAAAGTCTTGGCCTCAAGTAATTCTCCCTCTTCAGCCTTCCAAGGCGCTGAGATTATAGGTATGAGCCACTATGCATGGCCAGGCTGTGATTCTTGAGCAGGGGAAGTACTTGAGGAGTGTGTCAGGCTCTACTGCGACCTGTTTCTTGTTGTGGGGGGGCAGAATTGTGCTTGTCCCTTGAAGGAGTGAGTGCCCCGAGCTTCTGCCATCCATCTGACCTTTTATGCTGGTCTTCCTGAAGGCAAGAGAGGGTGCAAAAGAGATGACTTCTTAAAGTTCCATAAGGCCCTGGCTCTCCCTTCCAGGGAGCTTTTCCTATGGAATATTATGGATTCTCAGGATGGAAGTGTGAGGTTTGCTCTGGCTAGAGAATTTTAAGAAAAGACTGAATACTTTTCTCTCCCACCTGTAATATCTGGATTTGACAGATCTGATGGGGTTGAGAACCTGAATGTTTGTTTTAAAAGAGCCACATCCTAATACAGATACCTACTATCCGTTCACCGGAGATGAGGTACAGTCATTCGCTGGAGGTGAGATGCAGTCAATTTCCATGAGAGCAAAGGAGGCTTGGGGAGGCTGGCCATAACACACCATCACTTGGGTGTATTCCATCTACAGTCTGCACACCAAATCCCTGCTCTCTGGAGAAGCCGGGGCAGGTCATTCTAAACGTCATAGTCTTATAACTAGCTTTAGATTTGCTCTTTTATTTTTATTTACTTATTTATTTATTTATTTTGTGTTGGAGTCTCACTCTGTCTTCCATATTGGAGTGTAGTGTCACACTCCTGGTTACCGCAGCCGTGACCTGCTGGGCTCCGGAGATCCTTCCACCTCAGCCTTCCAAGTAGCCAGAACTATAGGCGCACACTACCACGCCCAGCTAATTTTTGATTTATTGTAGAGATGAGGTCTCGCCAAGTTACCCAGGTGGGTCTCGAACCCGCAGGCTCAGGCAATTCACTTGCCTCGGCCTCCCAAAGTGCTGGGATTACAGGCTGAGCCACCAAGCCTGGCCACAGAAACACTTTAAATTTGTTAGCTATTGGCAACCCTTTCGGGTCCCCTCCCACTGTGGGAGCTTTTCTGTCCTTTCAATAAATCCTGCTTTCTCACTTTAAATAAATAAATAAATTTGTTAGCTATTGCTGGGCACGGCGACTCATGCCTATAATACCAGCACTTTGGGAGGCTAAGGCAAGAGGATTGCCTGAACCCAGGGGTTCAAGACTAGCCTGGACAACTTGGCAAGACCTCGTCTCTACAATAAATCAAAAAATTAGCTGGGTGTGGTGGCACATACCTGTAGATGGAATACATCCAAGTGATGGTGTGTTATGGCCAGCCTCCCCAAGCCTCCTTTGCTCTCATGGAAATTGACTGCATCTCACCTCCAGCGAATGACTGTACCTCATCTCCGGTGAACGGATAGTAGGTATCTGTATTAGGATGTGGCTCTTTTAAAACAAACATTCAGGCTCTCAGCTACTTGGAAGGCTGAGGTGGAAGGATCACCTAAGCCTAGCAGGTTGAGGTTGCAGTGACTGTGAGCATGCCACTGCACTTCAGCCTGGGCAACAGTGAGACTTCAACCAAAAAAAAAAAAAAGAAAATTGTCGGCCATTGGGTGTTTGGTTCTCTATAAAATCAAGCGTCCTTCCTTCTTAAACAGTAATGCAAGCATCAATGTAACCTTTTCTTGATGTCCCAGGGGTATGTGAGGAACCTTAATTAATGAACTGGGCTATCATTTAGTGGGGTGTGTGGGACAATTTGCTTATACCAAATGGCCTCCTGAGGTTTTGAGTTTTGTGCCTGCGTTTCAGTTTTTCCAGCTGTGCTTCTTGCTGACTGCCATCCCTTCTTGCTAGACACAATGTATCTGCCTAAAGCAAAATTTTCTTCACTTTTAGTTTGCATTTACTATATGGGCTTGGAAAATGGATAACTCAGTTCTTACAACTGAGAAGGACATCCTGTGGTAAACTTCCCTGTTGTCCGTTCCATACTCCCTCCCTGAGTAGCAGCAGTGAAATGCTGGATTGAACTCAGCCCAAGGAGATGGGCCTGATGGGTTTAAGGGCACTACACACTGTTTTGCCTTACCATGAGTTGGGTCATAAATGGACGCATGACACAGTTTGGACTTTTGGGATTTGAGGAGAAGTTTTGACTGATTTCTAGGAAAATGCTTCCTTTCTGGCTTAGAGAGCCACCGGAAGTCATTCTCCAGATAGAGGTAAACAAGGAAGGCTGCCCTGATTGTTCTTGGCAGCTGAATTTTAACTTCGAGAACTTTCTTTGGGAAGAGGCCTCCTGGGGATGACAGAATGACAGGAAGCAGAATTTTAGCAGCTGGCAGAGTGGAGAGATGGAAAGAACCTGAACTGCATGATTTTGGAGACTTCTAAAACCTTCTCTCATGTGAATTATTATATTTTCTTTGGTTTAAGCCCTTTTGAATTGAATTAGGCTTTTGGTTACTAAAAGCATACACATGGGTAAATATTGAATGTATGAACTAATTGTGAGTGGGTTCCTGGTGAAGCCTGAGGTTTCAGTATGTGCACTTGCTTACTCTGTCTTGGTTTCTCAGAAGTTTGGTTTTCTGGGGGTTTTGTTGATGTTGTTGTTGTTTGGATTTTTCTTTTTTTTCTTTTTTTTTTTTTTTGAGTTGGAGTCTCACTCCATTGCCCAGACTGGAGTGCAGTGGCACGTTCCCGGCCATTGCAGCCTCGACCTGCTAGGTTCCGGTGATCCTTCCGCCTCAGCCTTCCGAGTAGCCGGAATTACAGGCACGTGCTATCACGTCCGGCTGATTTTTAAAAAAATTTATTGTAAAGATGAGGTCTAGCCAAGTTCCCCAGCGGGTCTCAAACCCGCGGACTCACAGTCCATTCACCTCGGCCTCCCGAAGTGCTGGAATTACAGGCTGAGCCATCAAGCCCGGCTGGATTTTTTTTTTTTTTTTTTTTTTTTTTGAGTTGGGGTCTCATTCTGTTACCTAGGCTGGAAGGCAGTGGCATGATCACAGTTCGCCACATCCTTGATCTCCTGTGCTCAGGCAATCCTTCCATCTCAGCCTCCTGAGTAGCACGCACCACCACACCTGGCTAATTTTTTAAACACGGTCTTGCTATGTTGCCCTGGCTGGTTTTGAACTCCTGGACTCAAGTGATCCTCCTGCCTCAGCCTCCTAAAGTGCTGGGGTTACAGGCATGAGCCACCGTGCCTGGCTGGTTTTCTGTTTTGATTTTGAAGTAGGCTTATTTATTCATGAGATTCTCCAGGAGGATAGGGATTACTTCTCACTCACCCTCGTGTCCCCAGTACTTTTCATAGTGCCTTCCACTAACTGGACATTCAAAAACCTGTTCGGTTGACCTGAACCCAGCAGTCTGCGTGCATCTGCTGTGTGTGTTTCCCTTCCTACTGGCAATTAAACATATGTGTTACTCTTTACCTATCAGTCTTATTAGGATGATAAAGACACACCACCAAGTATCCATGCTAGTAGTTTTTTCGTTTTTGTTTGGTAGTGCTTTCCAAGGTTACAAAATGCCACCTCATCCTTATCTCGGGAAATGAGTAGGGCTGGAGTCATCACTATTTCACAGATAAGAAAAACCAAAAGGCAGATTTACATGAAGTTTAATTTTCTAACTAGCTCTTAACAAATTGAACTTGGAAATGGCATCCCAGCACTTTCCTCTGGAATAAACAACCCTGTGCCCAAAAAGGAGCCCCACTTTTAATACTTTTCCTAAACAAGTGCTCTGGTGTTTGCTGGAGACATAAATAACGTCTAACAATCAGTGTCTGCAGGTTGAGGCTTCAGGAGGCCGCTCTGCCTGGAGGCTGCCTCTGCCTTCCCATCCGCCCTCTAAAGACCTGCAATTTGCCGTCAGGTTAAAGCTCTTCAGGATTCACTGCTTGAGTTTCTCACTCAGCTAATTGGTGCTT